GCTCTCGCGCCGCAACTTGCAATAACGTCGTTTCTTGCGCCTCTTTGCACAGCAAGCCACCGGCGAGCCCGGAAACGCGTGCGACGGTGTCACGGTATGCGCACGCAGGTGAACAGCAGGGCCTCGAGTTGTCTGGTACATCTTTGTAGGGAGAGGTTTTTTCCGCTCTTGTTGCTTTATGGCTCTTCCTATTTCGACCGTTTTGCGCGGCGGTGTCTTCCTGTAGTCTTCCACTGTCTTGATATTAGCAAATGCTTAGCGCTGCCAGGTCAGAACATCCACTAGTAAGCTAGCTGTTTCTTACGTGCACATCGCAATCACGCTTTGGCTCCTGACAACGTCAGGAGAGATGTAAACAGCAGCCTTAAAGCCCCGTGAACGGGCAATGTCAAACGACGAGGCGATGGGGTGTTAACGAATGCGCGCCGTTCAGGCTCACGCCTCGTTGCTTTAAATCGGCTTTAAAATGGTAAATTCTTTCGTCGCTGAATAGTTCCGCTTTACACCGCAGTGTGCGTGACAGCTAGATTTCGCAGCTATATTATCGCGTTCCCTTTTTAGTAGAAGTCCACATCAGCTGTTGCCGCCCGTCTAGGTATCGCGTTTTGGAGTGCGAGGAGCCGCCCTCGGGTGCAAAAGGCACAACGGGCTTGCTATCATTACGTACTGGCGGCACTTATTACACGATACCCGCCGTTTCTTCCTTGCAGCCGGGAAGAGGGACAAGGGGAAGTGGTAGCAAACTCTCTTCTTTCTTTGGACCTAATCGAGCCAGCTATCGTCACGTGTGGCGTGCTGTGCGGAAGAGTTCAACTTCAAAAATTGTTTTCTCGCTTTAAACAAAAATCACTTTGTTTAAACTTTCAGAATCAAAAGACAATCAATTGTTCTTCTAAGCCCACCATATTTTGTATTTTTACTTGGACCACCTCAGGGTCAAATAAACGGCTGTTTATGCCTCAAAACGCACGTTTCAAAAAGGCGGCACGGTTGCATTGGCAGAAACGCTAAAGGCAGCAAAAGATCTTCAGCGAGTACTGAAGTCCTCTATTCACACTGCCCACTTCAGTTACGCCCGCAACATTTCTCTTAAGGCGAAAGAGGACCCGAAGAAGTTCTGGTCTTATATGAGCAGGCTGCAGACTAGCAGCAGCAAAAGCCATGCTTCTTGACCGATAATGGGGGCGTAGCGTCCTCCCGTGGCGTTGCACAACTATTCGCTCGGCACTTTTCTAGTGTTTTCAATGCTGCTTCATCTCCACCGTGCATCGACTCTCTGATACAAGACATTGAGGAGAGCACAGCATGCCTCAGCATGCCCATGCCTGACATCACCCTGACACTTGACCACCTCGATGATGCCTTTGGTCAGATTAAGCCGTTTCTCTCGCCGTGCCCCGACAACCTCCCGCCCGCTTTTCTCAAGATGCTCTGCCCGCAGGCGTCTCCATCTCCTATTAACATCTCCCAGTCCTTACTGGACAATGCTGTGGTCCCAGACACATGGAAGAGGGCCCTGATGACGTCCATCCACAAGGGCAAAGGCAGGCCCGCGAGTAATGTTTCCCTCTATCGACCGGTCTCCGTGACATCAATCCTTCGCAGGACCTTCGAGAGGCTAGTCGATCGGAGTCTCCTGGATTACCTGATCGACAGCAAAACCCTCTTCATGTCACAGCACGGATTCAGGCCAGGTAGGAGCTGCGACACTTCCCTGGTCACCATCACGCACTACATCAGTGATGGTTTGGACGCCCGCACTCCTACTGGCCTGATCCAGCTTGATTACAGCGATGCCTTTGACACGCTTGATCACCACCTTCTCATCAAGAAGCTTGCCGGGGCTGGCGGTCGTGGCTCTATGCTTCGCTGGGTCGCACATTTCCTCATCGGGCGCTCACATAGAGTTGTGTTGTGTTCCATGGATCGTCATCCGACGACTATCGAGTATCTTCGGGACCCAGGCGAAAATCATTGCACTTCCACCTGGATTATGGAACTAAAAATGAGGTGGTCCAACTAGATTCGAGCTGGACCCAGATAGAATCCAGCTGGACCGCCTCATTTCCAGTACCATAATCCAGCTGGAAGTGGACCGATTTTCGCCTGGGGAGTGCCTCAGGGCTTGGTCCTAGGACCCACGCTCTTCTCGTTATACGTCAACGACATGCCAAAGCATGATGGTACCCTCCTGGTCCAGTACGCGGACGACACCACCATTCTGGCCAGTCTGAATTCACCCTCCTCCTGCCTTCTCCTTCAAGACCACTTGACGCAGGTCGTGGACTGGTCCATTGCCAACCACCTCAGATTCAGCCATGCCAAAAGTGCCGCTATGCGCTTCAGCGCCAAAAGGAGAGTGCAGCCCCCATGCTACTCGATGTCTGGCACCCCTGTACAGGTGGCTACACATCTCCAGATTCTGGGGGTTACGCTCACCCCCACTCTCGACTTCACCATTCACGTGTCGAGTATTGTGGCGAAGGCTAGCAGAGATCTTGGATTCTTTACCAGGGTCTCGCGCTTTTGTGGCCCGGAGGCCTTTCAAGTACTCTACACGGCGTTGGTACTCCCACGCCTCGAGTATTGTGCGTCCATCTGGAGCTCATATCAAACTCACCTCACACAGCGCCTGGAGAGAATTCCGCGTCGTGCAACACGGACACTCCTGGCACGCACCTGTTGGCCACTTGCCAGGTCACAGTCATACGAGGATCGACTTAGGGGAGTGAACTGGCATTCCTTTGACCACCGGCGGGTCGTAGCGAGTGTCAGACTTTTGTGCCGAACCCTGGACGGCTCAATGTGCGACACTTATTTGGGGAGTATTGTTCGGATCAACAGGCGTTCCGGGCAACCTGAGCAGCTAAGGGCGCGCACACTCCGACATGGCCACTCTTTTGTCCCAGCTGCAACTGAAGCTTTCCTGACGGCTCCCCTAGATATACGGGTCCCCTTACCTCAGGACAGGCAGGACTCTGTGCTTCTGTGTCGGGCGTTCTCGCGAGCCCAGAGAAACCAATGTCCTTAACTCATCACGTGGTGAGTGTCGCGGTAGGGGGCAGACGTGTGTGCCTCGTCTCCTGGTGAGCTAGGAGGCAAGGCGCACACGCCTTTTCTTGACAGCGTCTTTTCGTGAAGGGACAAGCTTCCTACCACAGGGTGGGGGGCTTTAATGTCGCACCTTTTTGGTGGTGGTGGTGGTGGTGGGGGGGGGGGGGGGGGGGGGGGGCTTTCATTGTCCCTGAAGAGTGCTCTGCAGGTCGGGCATTAAGATTTCTTCGGAATTTTTTGAAATTTGTGATTGTTTGTTTTCCCGGTTGCTTGATTGTTGTCTCCCTGACTGTTTGTTTTCTGTTTTTATTGTTTGTTTCCTGGGGGGTCGGCCAGCAGACGCTCTCGCGTACCGGCTCTCGCCTATCTTCTTCGTTTCGCACGCCTTCCAGGACACAGTTCGCTCTTTGTGACAATAAAGATTATTATTATTATTATTATTATGGATTTTTGTTTACTGTAAGACATTTAATCGAGCGGTTTTAAACATTTTTTATAGATTATATACCTTCAGGGGCAGCAGGTAAAAGGTTCTAGTAAGCCCTGTAGGAATTAGATATTTTTTTAATAAAATAACAAAAATATTGAAATTTTCAAAAACTTTGAGTCTTTTAAAAAAATATTTAAATTAAACAAAACTGCACAAGCCCAACAACATTGTAAGCCGAAAGCCGTGCAATTTTGAGAAAAAATATTGTTGGGTGTTTCGTTGAAAAGCAGAGTCTTCATCAATTATTGAGTGATGCCTAGTTTCACGCTGTTTCTAAAAGTTAAAACTGCGCTTACACCATCAAACATTTTGCGGCAAAAGGTAATCATTTTCTTTTTGTTTGGAAATCGAAGGTGGTCGAGCGCTACATCTGGGACGTTTGACATGGAATGACCCAAATGGGAAATCGTGATCGCTTTGCTGTTGCCGCTATTCCGTTAGAACCGACTTCGTTATAACCCGTCTTGACAGTACTGCTTTCATATGTTCTGAGAAGTTTTACGTCAAAGAAGTAGTACAATGTTCAATCTCTTAAAAAGCACTACTTTCATTTAGCAGTATAAAGTTCGCCAATTTCATGATACAAGAGAAGTTCATAGTCAATTTCATGCAGCAAGTGTACAGGTGTTCTTTTTAGACTTCGAAACAACAGTTATTATCCCAAGTATCCAGAGCAATTTTATTCTCATTCGTGTTTAGTGCAAACATTTTCAGTCATCTTGAACCCTGCATTTGCTAACCACTTTCGAGTTTAAATAAAGTGTCCAGAACACGTTTATTTCCCTATTGCAAAACGTATAATCCATTTTTTGTACAGTTTTGTGCCCTGGGGGAATTTTGACAGGATATACCTGAGCTCATATATCTTAACATTTAATGTCCTTGAAGTATTCACACAAGTGTTGTCAAACTGCCGAACTGTAAGCTGAACCCCAAGTTCCTTCGAAACAGTGAAGCTAACTAAATAGTTGCAGCTTAGCTGCCTTCTACATTCGGCATCCCATGCTTGTTAGGTTTGCTATACCCATTCTCTGGTTATGCCCCCTGCATTGTTCATGCTCTTTTGGGGACCATGATTTTAGTGCCCAACGATCATAATGAATACTCTATGGTGCAGTGCCTGGAATGCATCTTTGACTGGTGTCTCTATCATTCTATACTGCTTGTGCATCGAAAGTGGTTACAAAAGTATATCGCAGGAGCTGGCATTTCATGCTGTCGGATGTAGCAAATCTGGTGGTTTCTCCTATACGCGTTTCAGCAAAGATGAAACACAAGAGTGGGCACGTCGGCAGCAGCGCGGCCACAATGCCTAACATGCTGTTGTTCCTCTTTGTTCATATTCTGCTGCTGCCATATGGAATGACAAGTGACGGAACAGGGACCGACCATCTCTTCGTGAGCACTACCGGCAGCACGTGTGCAGGTGACGCCATAACAAACGGAAATCCATTACCTTTCTGCAACTTCACGGTGGACAGTCCCGCGTTCGACTGCCGGATGCCCTGGCACGCTGGTAGACTACGTGGGACATCTACGTCACCATCCGAAGCTATAGAAGCAAGCCATCTCGGCAATCTTGTCAGTGGGCAGGTCAGCAGCAGCGCGGCCACAATGCCTAACATGTTGTTGTTCCTCTTTGTTCAGGTACAGTCAGCACGGAATGAAACCCGAACGCCGGAATGCGTGGCCATTGATACAGGCTGCTCCACCTGGAGGGCCCCTAAGAACTAATGAAAATGCACCTGGGTGCGAGGGTGCGGGCCCTATTAAGATGTCCTCGATTCTCGCGCGGGGCGTCTGGGACTTCCGCGTTTCGCCGGTGGCGCGCTGCAAGCGCCGTCACTCGGGGTGCTTTTCTGTCGCCGCACTGTCGCCCGGTCGGTACCGGGCAGCCGCTTAACCTGGCCTTAGCTTTTTGCGATAGGCACTGCTCAGACAGGGTGATGAATTTATTCCGCTCCAGAATTGATACGCCTGGCATATCGGTGGTTACCAAAGAGAGCGTCAGCAAGCAATTCCTCGCTTTTTAAGATTCGACTGATAACTTCGCCCAAAAACATGGGCATTGCTCATAAAAACCAAGGCATCCGCGTCGGTCTGTTGCAGCATTTTTTTCTCATAAAGAATATGGGCGTGCGAATAAACAAATTTTATTTCGCGTTCATGATGTTTCACTACTCCTCAGAAACCGCGCGTGGCACGTTGTTCACCGGAGCCACAGCGTGGTTCCGGTGACACGTCATGAAACACTACGGGTCTTCTGTGCACGAAATGTTTCAACTTTCATTTCGCCCTTGCGATACACAAAGCGATCATGAATGACAGCGCAGAGATATCACTGGGAATCGGATACACAAAGCGAGTGACAGTGCTTTTTGTATCGGATGTGACGGCGCTTACAGCGCGCCACCGGCGAAACCCGGAACTCCCAGACGCGCCGCGCGAGGGTCGAGCTCATCTTAGTAGGACCCGCACCCTCGCACCCCGGCGCATTTTCATTCGTTCTCAGGAACCCTCCAGGTGGAGCAGCCTGTATCAACGGCCACGCGTTCCGGCGTTCGGGTTTCATTTCGTGCTGACTGTACGTTCTGAGGTTAGCGAATGCTTTTGTTATCGGTCGGACGGCCGTTTCTTACTGCTACTGCCCCGCCCACACGTTTTTCTCTCTCACTTTAAGACATGCGCCTTTTCTTTCCTGTCATTGTTCTGTTGTGGTGACAGAACCGAACCCTGGTCCTATGAGTGCTAAACAATTGGCTCAGTTTTGTGGGCGAGCTACTAGCGCCACCTACTACGGCCCGCTCTTTTAATCCTTACCGTCAAGCCTGGCCGAACAAGTGTTCCTGCCTGCTCTCTCCAGCTCTCTGTTTTGGCGCGACCGAGCCATGTGGCGCGTCAGCGCCTCGTTCCTTTTCTTATTTATTGCCAGTTAATAAACCTTTTATTCGATTGTTTGGCCCCGTCCTTGCCTCATCGCCCTACGCCTCGCCTGGCCAACGCCCGGCCGTAGTCCTCACAATTGGCGCAGTCGACGTCGCTACCTGCCCGCCTGGAACCTCCTGCCTGCCTCCGCCATTACCGCATCGAAACCGCCATGCCGCTCATCGCATGGGAACAAGCGACGCCAGAGTACTTGGAGACGTTTACAAGTACGTTTTTACGCTCCGAGGCCGAGCGCCGAGGCTTGGACGCCTCTGGAACAGAGTCCGAGTTAATTGATCGAATCATCCTGGACATCCGCGTCCGCGAAAGTCTGAAGGAACCCGAAGTTGTTCTATTTGCCGACGACATTGGCACTTTACAAGTGGCGCAGCAAGCTACATCTCCTCCGTCACAAGTCCCCAGCGATCTTGTTGCGACTTTGGCAACCTGCCTTGAGCAGAACGCTAGGTTTTTGGCTCGAATGCAGGAGTCCTTCGCCCTGAGACCGACCCAATTGACAACGCTACCCGGCTTGTCGCAAACCCTTTCAGTGTTTGACGACTCAAAACAGCTGTCCTCACGTCGCTGGATTGAGAAATTGGAGCGAGCCCAAAAGCTCGCATCCTGGAACGACGACGCCCTGCGCGCTATCGCCCAAGGTAAACTGCGCGGAACCCCCAAAAACTGGCACCTCGCATGCGGCGACGCTTTCCCTACGTGACCGTCATGGCGTGCAGCATTTCTGAGGCAGTTCAACGACGACCTAATACTCATCGAATGGCAAGTGAAGCTGAGTGACTGTCTACAGTCAAAGAACCAGACTCTGCATGCGTATACATTCCCCAAACTGCAAATCCTTGCTCGAAGTCCCGTCCAACTGACAGACAAGCAACGAATTGAATACCTTCTATAAGGACTTCGTGACGATCACCTCATCTCCGCCATCGCCGCCCAGAGACCCGCAACGGTCGACGGGTTTACCGCAATCGCTACCGACCTGGACAACGCTGCATTGCACATCAAGCGAGCTCGACCGGACAAGCTATCTGGATTCCAGACAGACCAAAGCCCCCGCGCACCTTCGACACCGTCAACCTCCGAGAAGAGTGCACCGCTGCAACCCCGTCCCAACTATACATCAAGACAGCAGCGTTCCAGATCCCTCTCGGCAGAAGAGCAGAATGCTAGTTTCGATGCCATATCACAGAAGTATGGTGTGGCAGCCTTTCGTCCTGGGCAGAATTTGGAAGAAGCCGTGTGTTTCCACTGTCGCCAAAAGGGACATCTCGCGTCCAAATGCCCATTCAAGTCATCTGCTGCGACAACCACTTTGCCCAAAGCGCCAGCACTTCATAGCAGCCCTGTTGAGACGCTTGATGGTTCGCAAGTGCAATGTGCTCTTGTGACCAGAGGTCGGCATTTTAGGTCGCCCTCACTCACCCTCACCCTCACAGCCACACTTACCTAAGCCCCTCACTCGCCCTCACCCTCACAGCTACACTCACCTTCAGCCCCTCACTCACCCTCACCCTCACAGTCACACTCACCTTCAGCCCTTCACTCACCCTCACTGAACCTCACGGCCCTCACGCACTCACCGCCCTCACGGCCCTCACGCCCCTCACGCCCCTCACGCCCCTCACGCCCCTCACGCCCCTCACGGCCCTCACCGCCCTCACGGCCCTCACGCCCCTCACTCACTCATGGCCCTCACGCCACTCACCGCCCTCACGGCCCTCACCGCCCTCACCGCCCTCACGGCCCTCACGCACTCATAGCCCTCACGCCACTCACCGCCCTCACCGCCCTCACGGCCCTCACCGCCCTCACGGCCCTCACGCCACTCACCGCCCTCACGCCACTCACCGCCGTCACGCCACTACCCTCACGCGCCTCACCGCCCTTGCGGCCCTCACACCCCTCGCGCCCCTCACGCACTGATGGCCCTCACGCCACTCAGGCCAGCTTCAGATGGGGCAATTTCGCCCAGAAACTTTACGTCGCAACACCAGCAACACGGGCCGCCCGCGATCACATGCAGCAACGAATTGCTGCAATTTGCCATCGTCATCATAAAATTTTATTTTTCTTGCACTATTTAGACACAATTACGCGTTATAAACGTGTTTTTATGCATTTAAATCTCGTTAAGAATACTAATGCACCTTTCTGAAACAGTTTATTTAAAAAAAAAACGATCGATTTCAAACCAGAACCAAGTCTTTAGATGTCATCATCACCGGCACGAGGTATCACGTGAAAATTTTGCGTCCCTGATTGGATGCAAGCGCTTCAAACGCATTCGAATTGCTCCGAGTTGCATGGCCCTCACCGCCCTCACGGCCCTCACCGCCCTCACGGCCCTCACCACCCTCACGGCCCTCACGGCCCTCACTCACCCTCACACTCATGAATTTTCCTGGTTCAGAAACTCACTCACCCTCACCTCACCTGTGAGGATGAGAGTGAGTGAGGGTGAGTGAGGGCCCTCATGAGTGAGGTTTGCCGAGGTATGCTTGTGACTGCCACCATCGCAGGTATTGGCCAAGTTGATGCGTTCCCTGATGGTGGATCCAAGGTGACACTAGTGTCCCGTGAGCTCGTCAGCTCTGTGCCCCTTCTACCTTGGACTCGAGCACCCCTTGTTGTAGTTTTAGGAACGTCAGTTATCCCAGCTGGTGCCATCTGTCTAAAAATTTCCGTTGGCCTAGTCACTGGAGTGATCGAAGCCGCAGCCCTTGACCACAACGCCCTCCCAGTGATCTTGGGTGAAGACTGGTTTTTCTCCAGCAAAGCACAGCTAATCTTCCAGCCACCCAGCCCCACCAAAATTTGCCATTCCCCAACTGGAACAAGCATTCAGTGCCATGAACGGTTGCTTCCTCGGATGGCAAATGCTGTAATGCTGGAAGCTTCAGCTTTCCGTCACTGTGTCCATGGACACCACAGCCCAGCGGGGCTACAGCAGCTTCCTTTACCAGGCCCACACCAGCCCTTGTGGGCCGCATTGACAGCCGAGCCACAGCCCAAGCACACAGTGCCCCCGACAGTGGACGTCTGCATTGACCCAGCCCTGCCTGCAGCGCAAGTGGGAAGCCATCTGCTAGACCCACAGAAGACTAAGCTCTCAACCTTGTTGTCCAAACATGCAGATGTGTTCACCCACGGGGAAGAGGATGTTGGCTTGTACGAGGGCGTGGAACATGCGATAGATCTGCTTCCAGATGCAGCTCCCTATAGCCGGTCTCCGTACCGCTATGCTGCTGAAGACCGTCGTTTCCTCGAAGAACAGACAAAATCGCTCCTTCGCCAGGGCATCATCCTCCCAGCAACGGGCCCGTGGGCTTTCCCAGTGGTTGTCACCAGAGGTACAAAGAAACGTCTCTGTGTCAACTATGTGCCCCTCAACAAGATGACTATCAGTGTCATCCAGCCTCTCCCCCACGCTGACGATATCATGGATGATATCGAAGGCTCTTCGTACTTCGCTTGTGTTGACTTGAAGTTTGCATACTGGCAGGTTCTCGTCCGCCCGGAAGATCGTGAGAAGACGGCCTTTGTGACTCATCATTGAACATTCATGTGGACCCGTATACCTTTCGGACTTAAGAATGCGCCATCGACGTTTCAACGTGCCATGCACTCCGTCTTGTCCGATTTGAAGCCACATTGCTCATAGTGTGGCGTGCGAGTCTACCTGGACGACGTCCTGATCTTCGCTTCCACTTTTGACGAGTTCCTGAAACTCCTTGACGACGTCCTTCGCACCAGTGGCTTCAAAGTGTCGCTGGAAAAGTGCAGGTTTGCCCTGCAAGCCATCAAGTTTCTTGGTTTTATCCTAAGCAAGAATGGAAAGCACCCAGACCCAGCCAAAGTTGATGTGATTCTGCGCATCCCCCGCCCTACGAACAGCAAAGCTGTTTTGTCTTGGCTCCAGACGGCCAACTTCTACCGTCGCTTTGTCAAGGATTTCTCAAAAATTGCAGCACCACTCCAAACTATCATTCGGTCTCAAGAGTTCACTTGGACTGACGCTTGTGATGACGACTTCGAGAAGATCCGCAAGGCACTGACAGAAGCACCTCTTCTTGGTCACTTTGATCCAGATGCCCCAACCACTGTGACAACAGATGCATCGGGAACAGCAGTTGGTGCTGTGCTTTCCCAGAAACAACAAGGCAAGGAAACTGTCATTGAGTACGCAAGTCGAACACTCACTGCTGAAGAAAAGAAGTTGCACAGCAACGTCTGGGAGTGTATCGCCGTGCACTGGGCAGTCACCATCAAGTTTCGCCACTATTTACTTGGAAAGAAATTCTCTCTACTTACTGACAACTGGACTGTTGCATACCTCACCACAAACATCTGACCCTCTCGCCGTTTCACCACCATGTTGATGGATCTCACTGAGTTTAAATTTACAGTGCAGCATCACCCTGGTCGCCAAAACGTGGTTGCTGACATGCTCTCCCGGCTGTCCGCAGCAGTTCTCAATCAGCCACAGACATTGGCATCGATGCAAGCAGAAGACCCACAGTGCCAAGCTCTGCGTCGTAGCCTTTGGTCTTCAGAGCAGCCGCACACACCTTGTGGTCATTGATGATGTCCTCTACTATACTGACGATGCCACAGGAGTACGAACCATCGTTGTTCCTGCCAAGATGCGTCAGGCAGTACTGGAACTGGTTCACGACGGTGCAGGCCACATGGACATCGCTCGAACACTGGCCAAAGCACGAGAACGGTACTGGTGGCCAGACCTCGCCGCCGCAGTAGCCCGTTATGTGACAGCCTGCCAGATCTGCCAGAGCAGCAATCGCCCTGTGTTTAAAAGAGTGAGCAAAATGTGACTGATGCCTATTTCGGATGTTCCATTCGCGATGATCGCTATCGACCATGTCTCGATGCCAGCAACGCCCACCAAGAAGTACTTACTAAACGTGATTGACTTTGGAACCCGTTTCATTGTTCCAGCAGCTGTGTCTTCGACCTCAACCAAGGACGTTCTGACGCACTTGCAGTCCGTGCTCTTCAAGTTTGGATGTCCCGATGACTGCCTCTGAGACCATGGTTCAGCCTTTGAATCCCACCAGTTCACACAGTTCATGAACTTACATGGTGTGAGGATTCACTACTCGGTTGCATACGGCCTGGTTGAAAGTAACGGCCTCGTTGAAAGAAGTAGTGGGACTTTAGTTGCAGTGCTTCGTAAGCTGTGCACAAAGGACCCGTCATCCTGGGACGAGAAGCTCGAAGAAGCTGCGTTTGCTGTCAACTGCACCTATAGTGCAAGCACTCGTTTTTCCCCGTTTGAACTCCTTTTTGGGTATGTTCCAAAGCTCCCCCGCCAATGTCATCGTCCCATTGAAGCCAAAGCTCTTCAAGATCGCCTCCTAACGCTGTCGGAGCACAGCAGTACCGCTGCCAGCAACACCGAAGAGGCTCAAGAAAAACGCAAGGCAGCCTACAACCAAGCCCACAGGCATCAATTCCTTCCGTGTCGTCGGTCAGTTTGTATGGGTTCGACGCCAGGAGCCCATTACTGACGGCACAGCGAAGCTAGCCCCTAAGTTCAATGGAGTCTACCAGATCATTGACCAGAAGACCCCGGTGACATTCGTGGTGTCCCATATCACAGGACAAGGGCCCCACAATCGGATCCGTGAACGGTTGGTCCATGTCTCCCAACTGAAGCCGTACATCCCACCATATGTCGAACCCTACCTCATGAGCGACCAGACCGCCTCCGCTCCTGAAGCTGCCAGTTTTCCAGATGCCCTTGGGAGCGTCTTGCCTGCCTGTCCAACAGCCAGTGCTGACCCCGAGCTTCCATCCCCTGGACTCGGCTCTTCCAGACCCCAACGAGCAAGACGACCACCTGACTACGTGGCGGACTATTACTTACCAGAGTGAAGACTTTTATGCTGTGCAGACCAAAGAGACTTGGTCTTGTTAAAGGAGCGGTGCAACGATATTTAATTGGAATGTTCTTCACTTGACACGAGCTTACTGGCACACCTGGGACTCAAGGATACTCACACGCAACGCCACTGGCCAAGAAACTACTTTGTTGCGGTGTAATTGCAAGGACAAAAGCGATCATTTTCATTCAACCTCTCTTTTGAAAAATTTGATGACGTAACGTGGGGATCGCAGTACACCGAAGTGACGATATTTGAATGCGGTTCATAGATTGAACCCGAGCATTGCGTGGGCACTCGACTTGGGCTCGTGATAGTTGCTAGCTCGAGAAGCATTCGGGTAGTGACCCGTGTCCAATCGCTGCAACGACGACAACAGCCGAGCCATAACAATGTCTGAAACTCAGCGCGTGTCCTGCGCTTTGCCAACCCCAGCGCGTGGCTATGATCAACACTGGCGGCATATAATCGGCTCCAGATCACGTGGCCGCTTGTTCTGGCTGCTAATAGAGGGGGTGAACGCTGCTTGTTTTTCTTTAATTTTTTCTGGGACTTCTATTGCGTGGGGTGAAAAACGAACGCGTGTTTCATAGGTCATTAACGTTAGGATCCGTTTTAAACGGTATTTGCGCAAAGTACAAAAATTGTTGCATCGCTCCTTTAAAGAGATACTGAACCCAAATTTGAATTTTGTGAAATAAGGCTCTAGAAGCGTTGAACAGGACCCTACGAACTCCAAAACATTACTCGTACATCGATATCTCAAACGGATCGCCGCACTCTTGGGAAAGGAGGGCGTGACCAAGCGAGGTCTTTGACATCACTGTCCTCCGGGAGAATTTGAGAATGAGGGGAAGCGGCCTCGCTTCTCTCCTCCTCGCTTCGGTTCACCAGCTTGACACGGGACGTAGCGAGGACAGTTAATAAGAATCGTGACGTGCCTTGTCTCGTCGGCCTCCTCGGCCGGGCACTTCTTTTCTAAAAATATGGCGATCCGTTAGAGATATCGCTGTATGAGTGATGTTTTGGGGTTTTACACCGTCCCGCCTATCTGTCCAGTCTTGATTTGTGAGTTCAAAATTTCGGTTCAGTATCCCTTTAAAGAGGGGCCGGATGTGAGCGAGCTACTAGCACCACCTACTACGGCCCGCTCTTTTAATCCTTACCGTCAAGCCTGGCCGAACAAGTGTTCCTGCCTGCTCTCTGTTTTGGCGCGACCGAGCCATGTGGCGCGTCAGCGCCTCGTTCCTTTTCTTATTTATTGACAGTTAATAAACCTTTTATTCGATTGTTTGGCCCCGCCCTTGCCTCATCACCCTACGCCTCGCCTGGCCGACGCCCGGCCGTAGTCCGGGCGTCGAATTGAGACGGGTCAAGCAAATATAATGGGCTTCATAGAGGAAATAAAGCAACACCAAAAATCTATCGAAGTAAAAATCACAAATATTGGGAAAAGGCTCGAGTCTGTTAAAAGTAGGGTAGGCGTTTTAGAAAACGACTGGCAAGCACTAAGATAAAAAGACGACAGCCAAAGAAAACTTCAGGTTGCACTACGCTCAAGGATCGATGAAATGGAAGATCAGTGAAGGCGAAATAACGTTCTTTTTTACGGGATTCCCGATGACTCAGCAGAAACGTGGAGACAGGTAGAGGAAAAAATAAGAAAACTGTTATCGGACTGTTTGGTCGGGGGAGGAGCGGACTCGTCCGCCAGCGTGATGTCTTTTAGTATTGAGTGGGCTCATAGGCTGGGTCAATTTGCCGCGAACAAGTGCAGACCAATCATTGTTAAGTTTGCTTCTTTCAAGATAAAGGAACAAGTGCTGCAGTTAAGGGCTAAACTTAAACTTGTTAATAAAAGTGTTGGCGAGGATTTTTCATTTGCGTCACGTTTGGCGCGGAGAAACTTAATTGAATTTGGAAAATCTCAAGGTTCCACTCTCAAGCTTAACCATAACAAACTGCTCCTGAACGATAAATGCCTTATCTATGATTACGAACTGGGCCGCGTCACGGAACTAGCTCGACCGCATGCCTCCATCGTTGCAGAGCGCCGCGTTTCGACACCCGAGGTACAGTGTACTAGAATACTTGGGTAGTGTTGGGACCGGAGCGGCTCGGCAACGGGAGCTCGTGAGGGCGCGTGTATTGACAGTTCTTGGCGGCGCTGTAGTCGAGTTATCCGAAAAAAATTGCGCAGCCCGTCTGTTTTTTTTTTTTTTTTGTTTTTTTTTTTTCACTTTGAGCGGTGCACATGTCGGTACCACGATTTTATACACTCCGAAGGCTAGAAGTGCGAGCTCATAGCGTTGGTAGCTGCCCTTGGTGCACGGAAGCTTGTGCCGCCGAGATGTGCCCTAGAGCAAGGAGCTCGCGCATGCAGCCTTACCTGCGGTACAACACAAGGTGAAACAGAGTATAGACGCTTTTCACACTCGCAAAATTACAGCCGCCATTGCTGACCTTCTCTTGTCTTTTCCATGTGCCGAGCCACTGAAGCGAGCGTTGACAAGCCTCCACAGAGGCCAAGGCTGTGGAGAAGGACGCAGTACAATTTAAAATATCAATAACTTGCCCTGCTGTGATTATGATGAAGTGAAGTAAATGTAATAAGAAACAAAAACTGAAGGTCAGTTCTGGCGGCGCCCATGCACAGCTGCTGCAAAGCGTCTATAGGGCACATAAAAAAAATCGGTATTTTCAAAACTTTTTTTTCTTTTGTTTTTGCTGTAGGCAGAGGGTTAATGAACGGTTTAATGGGCCATGTTGCAATTGCAGCTTTAAAGTAAGCCATTATCAAAGGCCAACCCAATTTTAACTTCGCGAACAAACAACGAGCTTTGAGGGAAAGCAACAAGGCGCTCGTTTTTGTTGTGTTTGTCCGTCCCTTCTCGTTTTCTTCCTCGAGCTTAATTATCTCTACCAACGCGCTCATCCTTTCCTGAGATATTCATCGCCGCGCGCTGAAAGCGCGATTGCGGTTGTGTTGATAATGATGCATAGAAGAAGGACACAGTTGTTTCTGTCCCCTCATCAATAACTCGACAGCGTGTCTTCGGTGGACTCGCCGGCGCCACACATCAAGACGAGTAAGTCTTTATTCTACGTATTATTTTCATAACGCGGTTTTTGAATCAAGCGAAGAAAGGCAAACTTTTACGATAAATTTCGCGAACCTCGTTGCCTTTTCGCGAATTGTCGAAACTGTGTTTACCTTTAATAATGACTCATTTCAAAACTGCAATTGCAC